GTAGTAGTAAGGTAGTAGTAAGGTAGTAGTAAGGTAGTAGTAAGGTAGTAGTAGTAGTAGTAGTAGTAGTAGTATAGTAGTAGTAGTCATAGTAGTAGTAGTAGTAGTAGTAGTAGTAGTAGTAGTAGTAGTAAGAAGGTAGTAGTAGAAGGTAGTAGTAGAAGGTAGTAATAGTAGTAGTAGTAGTAGTAGTAGTAGGAAGTAGGAAGTAGGAAGTAGGAAGTAGGAAGTAGTAGTAGTAGCTAGTAGGAAGAAGGTAGTAGGTAGAAGGTAGTAGGTGGTAGGTAGTAGGTAGTAGGTAAGAGGTAGTGGTAGTAGTCGTCGTCGTCGTCGTAGTAGTAGTAGTGGTAGTAGTGGTAGTAGTGGTAGTAGCAGTAGTAGTAGCAGTAGTGGTAGTAGCAGTAGTGGTAGTAGCAGTAGTAGTAGCAGTAGTGGTAGTAGCAGTAGTAGTAGTACTAGTAGTGGTGGTGTCAGAGTCAAGGACAGCCAACCACCTTCCCCATGACCATTGGCAGGACAGCGGCACCACCGGCCAACGCCCGATCAGCTGCCAACTTGCCCAAAAAGACGCTGCCTGGGCGAAAACCTGTGTCGGAAGCCACTGAAGGAGGCGTGGAAAGGGCGGCAATTATGATAAACACGAGTAACGAGTGATGTAGCAATTGGTTGTGTGCGATGTGGGTTCAAAGGTTGCGCTGTTGGGTTCCCACGTAAAAATTTGTGGGTTGATTTGGGCCGTCCTGTTTTGGCGCAAGTCGACACAGTGCGGACATTTGCATTTCTTCCACTTGAGAGAGAAACACCTTGCTGGAAATACAATTTTCTTCAAAGGTGGCGTACGCATACAAGCATACAATCTCCAGCAACCCCAAATTGCAAACATAGCGCGTTCCTGCTTTTTTCCAGTCCACAAGCACTGAAGTCTCCATTACAAGAAGGCTTGCAGCCACGGTTTTGAACCAAATGCTGGGCCCCCACAATCAGTAGGTACTTGCTTACAGCTAGCTTGGGAGCTGTGGCGTGCTTCCTGCCGTGTATAGCCACTGGCGGCGGGCGCTGCCAAACCGTGCGCTAGGTCTTGCGAAGTCTGGTGCAGTGGCTGCCTTCCGTCAGGCCAAAGAGGAAGGTGCCAATAGCAAGAAGGGGTAGACTTGTGGTGTCACATTCTGAGTGCGTGGACGGGGTTCAGTGATGCTGGCAGTGCCAGCTAGGCAAGTGGCATTTCTAGCATCGTGTAGGAAGGTGACTTGCAATCTATTTTTACTTTGACAAAGCGTGTTTTGAGCTCAAAGGGATGACAGACACTCCTTCGTGAACTAGTTCCATCAGCAAAATTAGCTCCACCAGGCCGACTGTGCCGTCTATCCGCAGGCCTGTGCCTTCCAAGTCTCCCATGTCCTCGGTTGCTGCAAAAGAATGAATTCAAGCGTGCTTGCTCCTTTTGAAGCTCCATATAACGCAACAGGATGTCCTACGCTAGCCGCTAGAGATACATGTGATGTGCTCGTTTTGGAGCCTATGCTTTGTTCTCCGCGCGTGCCCGTTTTAATGCAACAGGATGGAACCTATGCTAGAGATGTGCAACCGTTGTGGAGCTTTTGCTTTGTGCGCTGGGCCTGCCCGAGCCTCCTACAACACAAAAGGATTAAATATGCTGCAGACTGAAGTGATGCACCTGCTTTGGAGTCTTTCTCTTTCGCGCCAAGCGTGCCCATTCTACTTCGCGTGCAGAGCATGACTGTTCACTGAAGGAACACCACTAGATTCCAAAACGTGTGATATATGACATAAACGTGTAGAGATGTTCCGGGATCTGACTTTGGGCCTGCTTTGGCGGTGTTTGGCGCTGTTGCCCTGGCTTTCGTGCGCTCCCTTCTCGGGTGTGACGAAAGCGTATGGGTGTAGAGCTGCAGATGTCCAGGATGAACCGTGCACGAACAACCCTAGAAGGAGATGATTTGGCCAGGATACTGGCTGGCGAAGAAGCCGAGCAGATTGGTGGACAGAGCCAGCCGAAGACCAAAGAAGAGCTGAATAGTCTTTCAAGGAGGTGAAGGATGAGAGCCTGGAGACTTTCGCTGGCGCCAGGTAAACTGGAACCAGACCTCGAAGAATGCCACTCACTTAATATGAATAAACGAGGACTGGCTAGACCAGCTGCGTTTACCACGGCAGCTTTACAATGAAAAACCTGGAAATTGGGGCAAGCAGGCAAGCTGTGAGTTTGACACGCAGATGAGAGGGGTGGCGTGGAAAATACTAGTACTGGTACGTTACTAGATGTTACTAGGATGGAACTCACCTGTGAAATTTCACATACCTTGGCTTTCCAGCTGGTTGCGACGTTGCACAGTTGCGTTCATCGGCTTTCCAGCTGACCGCCGGCGGAACTCACGGTCTGGTCGACAGGGCGGAGCTTCGAATCGGGCTGGAAGACGTCCAGTGCGCCGGCGAAGACGCTCAGCTCGGCGTGGAGGACTCCCAAAGCGCCGCGAACGATGAAGGCCGGGCCTCTCGAGGGCGATGCTCGGCGTGGTAGTGCGTGGAACTTTGTGGTGCTTGTGGTGCTCGGTGTTCGTAATTTTTGTTTTTCAAAGTTGTAAGGATTCCAAAGGGTGGTTAGAAAGATTAGATTAGAAAGGGGCTTTGGAGGAACAGAGAGGGAGTATCCAACATGGTGGCTGCCAGCCAGCTTTCTGAAGGACCAACACGCAGTGAAGGCCGAGTCGGACGCCGATTGCGAAAGATACCCATCACGGGGTTCTTGAGTCACTGGGGTCACTGGGGTCACCGGAGTCACTGAGTCACCCAATTCCTCAAAAGGTTTTTCTTGACCACGCTGCTTGTGCCGTCGGTGGCTCTGAAGGGCTAACTATGAGCAACAGTCAAGTATATAGGTCACTGAATAGTTGAACACATGCAGATACATTAAGAGAAGAACATGAGATCTTTGGTCCTTCCAATTCAACGCTTTGGACGCACCGTGACATCTTAAAGTGTATTTCATCGCTGGTCGTCCAGCTGCAGATTAAACACAAACATTTCAGTGATTCAAATGCTGTCAGCCAATGAGCCTGGAATGCTGAAGTTGACGAGCCAAGACCTCTTGCCTTGGATTTTGCAGTGCCTTTCTGCTTCATCCGTGCTACGCTTGGCCCGTAGCTCCAAAGAGCTTTTGAAGTTGTGTTGCTGTGATCATTCTTTGGCTGCGATGGCGGAATCAATCAATTCTTCGGATGAACGGGTGCGCGCCTTGCGACCGGAAGGTGGCGCGAAGTGGAGCCTTGAGCGGTTGCACCTGTGCCAAAACCCACCATGCCTTCCAAGCATTGGCTTTGCGTTTGCAAGTGATGCCATTTCCATCAATGCCCATCATGAACTTGAGCGAACTGCAGCTATCCTGGAGAAACATCCTGGGTTGAGGCAGGCCATAGCATATTCTGGGGGCATGGGAACAACACCAGATTTACACCAGGAAAAATATATGATGGGAAGCGCTGTCTACTGTCCACATCATTAGGGAGAAGATTGATGCTTGTTCAATGGATTTTCCATGATATTCTATGGTTCTCTACATTGGCATTGGTGAAGAATTGTTGTGCACAACGAATAGATGTTCTTGAAAGCATCCAACAGATATCTCGAAAGGCAACAACCTCTTCCGATGCACCAGGGATGTTGTATTCTCGCTCTGAGGTTGACGATCCTTGGAATGGCACGGCCGGATGCCCCACATGAACTTGGCGTGGCCTTATCACAAGCTCGCGCTGTTCGAGTACGCTCTCACCTGCTAGGCTTGTTGGCCAACTCGACTCAGTGGCAAGATGAAGACGCGACAGAGGGGGTCCGTCATTTGGATTGAACTATTTCGGTTCAGGACGTTTTTGTATGGTGACTGGTGGACCCCATACAGAAAAGGCTTCGATTGTGTTTGTTTGGCCACACTACTATAATATTTTAAAGCATGTTAAAGCTATATTTTTGTATGGATCAGCTCTACCACCTGGTATTTGACGGCTTTGTGTATCATTCGCACCTTTGGCCTGGAGCCCAGAGTCCACGGTGTCACGGTCCACGGTCCATTCGGAACTGGAAGCGGGAAAAGGGACGAAGAGGCTACGAAGAACGAAGTGATTTGATGTGCCAGAAGGAGATGGGGTGCCAGATGAAGTACACCTCTTTTGGGCAAAGGCTTGAATCATCCTCCCCTTATGTAAGCCGACGCTAATCTAAGGTGAAGGCGGCTATGATGAGGGCGAAGATATCGATGATACCCTGGACTTCTACAGCTGCCAGCGTTGGGTTGGAAAGAAGATCCGGGCCATTGGGAAATGGGAACGTCGGTCTCCAGGTGCTTGCCCCTTGTGTAGCAGTGCCGGGCAGAGCGCCAGGATTGAAATTGGCGGCTTCGACTGAGGAAAATGACGCAAAGTCCCTTGTGCATTGAAACGGTGCCAAAGGTTAGCGCCGACGAATTCAGCCTGGGAATCACAACGCTGTACATATCTTGCAAGGGCTGAGATTCTTGGGCATTATGAAACAAGCAGTTTGACTTGAATTGTGCCACAATTACTGCACCTCACGCTGCCGGGCATTCCCAAGTGTTCCATTTGCGCCTACCACCACCACTTGTAAAGTGTAAAGATCTGAGCTGTTTACTTTTCTTGGATTGGGAAACTGCCTTCAAGACTTTTGATTCCAACATGTGTATAAGCGAGGTGCTAGCAGAAAAGAGCAACTCTATTGTGCAGCTGACCTGATTTTTCCTTCAAGCTGTAACCCGTGGATTGAACTACTTCTTTTTTATCGTTTTTCTTTGCCTTTCCAGCCTCTTCGCCACTCCTTCCACACACAGGCAAAGACGGCCGAGCTTCCACCCTTTCAGATCCTCGGCGTTCACTCATTTGCGTGGGATCAAGATATGATAAATTAATTTGACAACACATCCGACATCTGGATCGAACAACATAAGAATAGGATCAGAAACCGTACGAATATGCAGATCAACAAAAATCAGAACAGGATCAACCGAAAACAATAACATAACATGATCAACAAAAAAGGTAACCCTGAGTAGGACCCCTAGTCCATTTGTTCCCTCGGTCCTTTGCGGCCCCTGAACCTGCTCCGAATCCACTCCGGAAATTGTTCCGGAACCTGCCCCGGAACTTGCTTGGCATACCGTCGTAGGACACTTGAGCCTTGATACTGGCCCTTTTGAATATAGATGACCTAGCGTGGAGTCTGTGATCTTTACTTTGGTTTGCACGGGCTGCAGGAAACCGTGTCCAGGTGTTTTCCTTACAACGGCTGGCCATGTAAAATGTTTCGCGACGGCTTTGGAATCAGCGGCCCCTGTAAGGAGAAAATTTCTAGAAGAACCAGAGGAGCTCGATGAGGAGTACGTGCAGGGCAACGCGGTTTGGAGTGTGGACATGTCAGGATGAAGTTAAGTGTTACAGTTACCAGGATCTATTGTGCGCAAGAGCACGGATGGAGGGTGGAGACGTACCAAAACTTTTATACACCTCTCATAGGGCCACTGGTGCAGTGCTGGCTGCTTTGTTGTAGGTGCCTCTTCACTACCTTTCCATAACTATCCTTTCCATTTCTATTGAGAGGTTGTGTGGCGTGTTTTTTGGAGCAGTCGTGGCCTGCTTTTCTCAGCGCAGTGGCAGACTACACCGAAGTTCTGGGCCCAGCAACAGTGGACTCCCACACCAGACGTTTGAGGCTCCCGATTTTGACGCAATGGCAGCCTCAAAGCAATGACTGACTGCGGAACAACTAGATGCCCAACAAAAGCACGGCCTAACACAATAGTAGGTTGGATAACAATGAGCTCAACCGTCGCACATGTTCCCCGCCGTTCCCCGCAAGTTTCTTGGAGCACTTTATATGCTTGATGGTGAGAGTGGCCATCAAACAAACGTGCACGCATTTTGGTGGACAGCGGCACTGGCAATCTCCGTGATGGATTGCAGTAGCTTTTGGGGCCCTCGAACTGCGCTGACTCATTGCTGAGCTGACCAAGATAGACTGCAGAATGGATATCCTTTTCTTGCCGTGCAGGCAACAACAGCAACAACAACAACAGCAACAACAACAACAGCAACAACAACAACAACAACAACAGTGGCCAGTGATGCTGCAAGTGCAGGAGACCAGGTAACAGAGGTTCCTGGCCAGAAACACACCTGCGCAAACACACAAACAGAAGGGAGATGCTCGGAGAGGCTGGTATCCCCAGAGTGTGAGCTGGGGGTCATCGTCCCTAGTCAACGGTTTGGTGTCGCTCGTGGCGATGGAGTCGTTGTTTGGGCCTTGCCCAGGCTTTTTCCTGGTAGCCGTTCCCAAGTAGCTGGAGGCTATAGGAATCGAAAAGTGGGCAGAATTGATCCCAAATGCGGCTGCTGTTCACCCAGCCTCAAAGACAAAGACACATGAGTGCCTTCTTCAAGCCGCTGGGTCCACACCCCAGGCATGCAGGAACAGCGCTTGGCGCTGGATGTGAGCGTGGAGATCCCTGCGCAGCTTCAGGATGTGCGCCTCGGTCAAAGAAACCCTCCCGATTGCGTGTGCTGGATTAAGTCATCTTCGAGCATGTCTTGACGTCCTGTTTGAAAACAGGAATGAGGTCGTTTTCAACTCAGAACACTCCTCAGTCTTCAGTGTTTGTCCTTCCGTTTCTTCACACCCCAACTCAGTCTTCAGTGTCCCTCAGTGCCCCTTGGGCAGCTTGAGAGACACTGAAGACTGAGTCGCCCGCGCTCTCAGCCCGGATTGTGTCAAGTTCCCAGCCGTTGGCCAGCACCCTAGAAAGACACTTCTGCTATACACGCTTCAAGGCGACTTAAAAGTTGTGGGTGGTCTGTCAGAGACTCCCTGAAAATATCATTGAAGCCGGACACCACCTGTTTGTAGAGGAAAAGGCCGGCCAGTAACACGCAATGTTTAGAGACAGCGCCGCAACCGATGCAGTGGCGCAAACCGATGATCTCCCCCGATAGCAGTTTGCGCTGCCGTATCAAGAAAAGCCATCGGCCATGGTCACACCTCGGACTGGTTCCTGTTTTTGCCGGACAACCTTGGGCAGCATAATGATTGATGTCCGCTGTCAGTATTGACATCGGACCCAGAACCAACCGAAGAAGGGTGAACCAAAACGCTTTTGACACCTCACGAATCCTTGCTCCAGCAAGAGATGGAACTAGATGCGCATGCGGCATGCCACGTTGTTGTACGGTTTCCGCGAGTTCCATTGTGCTCATTGGATTGCCCACCTTTCTCAAACAGGGAACCTGCACATGTGATGTCCGAATACCGAAGAAGGTGAGCGAGGACGCTGTTTTTTGTCACCGCGAGAAACAATCAATCGTATACAAACATGACAAACCGGTCGAGCAATAACCAACAGCCAATGAACTTTTAGCGACCTACTCAAGAGTCAGAACCCAAAGAGTTTAGAAGGTGCACAAAGGTACTGAGTTTGAGATTTGCTGTATCATGTGAATAACGAGTTGTATCTTCTCAGCCGCATGGAGCGGCTCATGACTTTCGGGAAGTGTATGGGCCAAAGCAGCAACCACGTGGTAACAGGCCCATTCGGGTGTTCGCGCTTCAGATCAGCCTGCTGTCATGCAGGGTACATTGAATTAAAATCGAGGTTTCCGCCCATCGATTCCTTCGAGGATTTGCAAGGCAGGGTCCGAGGGCAACTCACGTTTGCTATGTCGCTTCGCAAGGTATATCACAGAACATGATTGTCTATAGCTGCGGCTTTGGTGTGTGGCGCTTGACCCTTTGTACATTGCGTCGGGTTTCCTGACAATTGAGAGGCATGCTGCCCGACTATGCCTTTAAGGGCTTGTCGAACATGGGCATTGAGGTGCCGACGCCCATCCAGGCAGGGCCATGAGTCAGAGTCACAACTGTTTCTTTTGTTATTTTTTTTGCAGCGGTGATGGATCAGCTCGAACATCTACTGATGTGAAAACAGGGAGCGATCCGCATGGGATGGGAGCGAACACCCCGCAACCGCCTAGAAGATCGATGCGGAACCGGAAGAGATGGACATGATGGAGCCCTTTTAACAAACCAAACAACAGACAAACAGCAAAAACAAAAACAACAACGGCGGATTGAACACCGTGAGTGGCGGTCATCAAATCCCTCATGTGAGCAATTGGACACGTATGCAAATTACTGCATATTTACTACTACTACTGCTACTACTGCTACTGCTACTACTACTACTACTACTACTACTACGACTAACGACTAACGACTAACGACTAACGACTAACGACTAACGACTACCTACTACCTACTACCTACTACCTGCTAATGCTACTGATAATACGACGACGACGACGACTACTACTACTACTACTCCTGCTACTACTACTACTACTACTACTACTACTACTACTACTACGACTAACGACTAACGACTAACGACTAACGACTAACGACTACCTACTACCTACTACCTACTACCTACTACCTACTACCTGCTAATGCTACTGATAATACGACGACGACGACGACTACTACTACTACTACTCCTGCTACTACTACTACTACTACTACTACTACTACTACTACTACGACTAACGACTAACGACTAACGACTAACGACTACCTACTACCTACTACCTACTACCTACTACCTGCTAATGCTACTGATAATACGACGACGACGACGACTACTACTACTACTACTCCTGCTGCTACTACTACTACTACTACTATTACCACCACATCCTAGAAACAAAAGTTGGAGCCCCGTTGATGATTTTATGCGCGCCCACCCCTCAAAAGGTGTTGTTGTCTTTACCCGCCCTAGAAACAAAGACTGCAGCCCCGTTGTTGTTTTTGACCACCTCCTCCAGAACAACACCTCAAAAACATTAGAGAGCGGGCCTACCCAGACTGTAATTCCCTCGAACCTTTTGCATCTAACCTTGTCCCCTTGAAACTCCAGAGTTACAACATGTGGCAACTATGTCACGAAAGCTAGCTGTAGCTAGCTGGAGTCTGTCTTGCTTTAGCAAGGAGGGTGGGAGCCGAGGACCTGAGTGCAGATACCTGATTTATTGAGCGTTTTCAAAACTGCTTGTGGAGGTACCAATCAAGAATCCTAAGAAATCCAAAAATCATAAAAACTTAAAAATCACAAAATCCTAAAAACATTAAAACAATAAAAGTTCCAAAATCTTAAAACTTAAAAAACTCAAAATACAAAAACTCCAAAATCTTAAAAATGTTTTTCCCGAATGCGTAGCGAAGGGTTCTCGTTTAACTCTTGGGGGTCTGGGGGTAGAGCCTTGTTCGCGACCCGTTGTTTCTATGTTCGCAACCGTCCGCAACCGTTCGTAACCGTTCGCAACCGTCCGCGGTAGAGCGCTAAGGCGCTGCCATTGGGGGAAGCTTTTGCAAGTGACTATTCATGGATGTGTCACGTGTCAGTTTGCGACGCTAGTCCATTGTGATTTGCGTGAAAATGACATGTCGCGCAAGAAGCGTGATGCATTTCGCTGCACAGGCGCAGCGTTTTGTGAGATCCGCAGTTTGCTACGCAGTTCCATTGGGATTAGCATTTGGAGAGTCGTGTTTTTGGGGTGTTGGATGTGGCCGTGCCATTGGGATTTGCGTTTCAGGGTGTGGCATCGAAGCTCTGTTTTCGTGACAAGTCTCAGCTGAAATGCCGATTTTGGTGGATGGGAGTGTGCTCAGAACGGGTCGAAATCATTCCAAACGTGTGGTGTGGTGCAAATTTTTCCCGAAAGCACCTGCGAAGGGTTTTTCCTTAAGCACTGCTGCCTATTTCATCTTCCTTAATCTCTTTCTCTTACTTCATCTTCCCCACTCTCTCTTCCTTACTCTCTTTCTCTTACTTCATCTTCCCCACTCTCTCTTCCTGACTCTCTTTATCCTACTTCACCTTCCTTACTTCATATTCTTTACTAACTTTCTCCTACTTCACCCTCACAACATCATCATCTAATCATCACCTCATAGGTTATTAATCTCATATCATATCATATTATATCATATCAGGTTATAATATCATATCACATCACATCAATGTCATAACATATCATATCATATCATGTTTTAATATCATATCACATCACATCAATGTCAGATCATATCATCTCATATCATGTGATAAAATAATATCACATCACAACATAACATATGAAGTAGAAGTATCAGATCAACAATATCAAAGTACATCAGAAGTAGATATTGATAGGTAGGTATTGATAAGTGGGTATAGACAGGTAGGTGTAGGTAGGTAGGTGTAGATAGGTAGGTGAAGATAGGTAGGTGAAGATAGGTAGGTGTAGACATCTTCCTTAAGACACCTACCCAACTTCACCTACCCAACTTCTTCTTTATTCTTCTCTTTAGGCGGCGGGGCGGTGCGAGCAGGTCTTACGAAACGCAACCCTCTCGTGGAATCGTGGCCATCGATCGCGCGCGCGTGTGGTGAGACGCGAATCGCGTTTGCCCTCGAGCAACCCTCTGCGGAGATCGTGCGTGTCGAGTGCACGAACGTGTGGTGAAACGTACATTTTGTCTGAGCGCGGCTGGGCGCACCATTATAATTCTGGTCACAAGGATGTCGCCAATGTGCGGTCCGGACCACATACTCATTGGGAAATGCGATTCCAAGGTCTGTGCCCGGTCTGTGCCCGGATCGTTCCCCCATTGTAATTCTGGTCGCAAGGATGTCGCGAATGTGCGCTGCGGACTTCATACTCGTTGGGAAATGCGATTCCATGGTCTGTGCCCGGAGCGTTCCCCCATTGTAATTCTGGCTCGAAGGTGTTCCTGTGTCATCGCTCGGAGCGTAGTTACATTGTGTTTTGCAAGCTTTGGTTGCTAATCGCCTTATAGTTCTGGCTCGAAGGTGTTCCTG